CAACAATATTTTTTATTTGAACTTTCAATATTTTTTTATTAATTCATTATCTATTATAAATGTCATCTAAATGTGGAACGCTTTTACATAAATTGTTGTTTATTTATGTAAATGGTAAATGTGTACTCTATTTCTTAAATGTTGTTAACGTTCATTTTTTTCTAATCATTAAAAGAAAAAGTGAATAAAACTGAAAAATAATTCGCTTAAAAGCGTTGAAATAGTTTTTTTTTTCTTGTAAACGATGGAACTTTTTCGAATTCTCTCTATATATATATGTGTGTGTGATTCGTATGTTTCTTAAACTATATAACTATATATATACATATTTTTTGCAAGTATATATGTATATTCGTAAATATGTATGTATACATAACGTAACATTTGGTGTACTTATGTATGTATACGTTTTTAATTATTATTATTTCATTTCTATATAAATGTCTTTCTTCATTTTTTTTTTATCGATGTACTTTCTCAACGTTGTTGTTGTGTAACTTTTAAATATTCAATATACATACATATATGTAATACGTAATATAATTTAAATTGTTGCTGTAACTGTTATTTGGCATAAGTAAGCGTTCGAAGCAATATAGTTGGAGTCGAAAAAATATCGAAAAGTAAAGCTAATTAATTTCGTATAAAAAATTTTAGGAAAAAATACAAAGATTAATCAAACTAAATTGAAACAGCAGTGCATTTGTGGTTGGATTTTTTTAGATGAATAGAGCTGCTAATACAAAGCTGTTTCCATAGAGCTTTCGATGGAGCTTCCAGTAGAGCTTACTGTATAAATCTGTTTTGATAGAGCTTTGGATGGAGCTTTCATCATACACTTGCTGAAAAAGTTTTTAGTTATCTCTAAAATAAGATTTGTTGATTAATGAGGTGTAGAGCTTGCTAGAAAAATCTGTTTGATAGAGCTTTCGATCGAGCTTTCACTTGCCGAAAAAGCTTCTTTTTTTGTTGGTTGAATTAATACCTGTTATTTATGAAGATACAGTTTACTACACAAACTTGTTTTAATAGAGCTTTCAATCAAGCTTTCACTCTTAACTTGCAATAAAAACTTTCAACGCAAGTTATTTTTAGTTGAATAAAAACTTATTATTGATAATGATTACTCGAATTTGTGCCGATAGACTTTACGGTCGAACTTTCAAAATTATTACCCTTAAAAGCTTTCAGCGGCAGACATTTGTGGTTGAATTTTGGTTGAAAATTGAAGTCTATTCTAATTGAGCTTTAGATCGAGTTTGCAATTTTTACTTGCCATAAAAAGCTCTCAGTATAAAATATAATAATTTATGAAATAATAGTTAATAACAGTTGTTAAAAATATTCTTTGGAATTTTTTCCGTTATCAAGCAAACCACCACATATGTCATATTTTTTAAAGCTCTTAATTTGATTATAAAGCAACGTAACATATTAAATAGAAATGGTGGATTTACTACTTAGAAAGAGCTTGCAAAGTCATCAATTGACCGATTTTATAGCATATTTTATAAGTCTTCATTGTATTGTTATATACAGTTTCCAGATGCATTTTCAGTATCCAAAGGAATCAAATCCTCCAAGAACAGTAAAGAAACTTTCGAGGCGATAGATAGGTAAATAAGATAACATATAGAAAGTAAGTGAGGTTTTGTACTGCGATCTATGATCAGGGTGCCCTCTTCTATATCAAAGGACATCTTGAGGCGATACTGGCCATTCCATCCATTCTTGAACACTATTTTAACTCACATGATGTCAGCTAAAGATCTCGAATCCGTAAAAGACAGACTGGCTGACCTCCAGTGTTTTATAAAAATCAGTACTCAAGGTGTATGCAAATCTTAAAATTTTCCATAACTGGAAACTGGGTAATTAAATATTTTTTTCTTTCGTTCAGATCTTGTCTCTGCTATATTGTAAAACTGAAATGAAGCAATTATAAGAGAAGCATTATAAAGAAGCATATTATATCGAACCAAGAAACCAATTAAGCGATAGCAAGAGCTTTTCAGGAAAAATCTTCATAGAAATAGCATATATTCTAACCACAAAAGCACGCAGAATATGTTTCTACATTCCAGCAACAACAATTTTCAAAATTATTTTTTCAAAATTTTAGAAAAAAACTCAAAATTTTAGAACAAAAAACTCAAAATTTCACTCCAAACTGAATCAGACAACACATGATAAATAGAGATTAGAAGGCAAACCCCGAATCGGTGAATTAAAAATCAAAACATGCATACCTCAATACGCATACAAATTATTTAATATTATTGTCAAGAAGTTGATCTACGTTTTTTGGAAATGGCTGTGCTATTATAACGCATATTTATTGCAATTTGATTTCGTAAGCAAATTTAAATTTCAGTAAACGTATTTTACTTGCAAAAAGCAATATAAGAAAATGCTCGCTTAAGCAAAAAAAAAAAAAAATGTATTGGAAAAAGCTTTAAAAAAGTTCATTTGAAACCAGAAACAATGGAAAAAGAGTGCGGCAGTGTGCCCAGCAAACAAAATACAGAAAACGTAAAAAAAAAAACAGAAAAAGAAAAGTAAATAAATTGAAGTTTCTAAAAATAGCAACAATAGAGTTTATGGAGAAAATATTATTTGTAAAGGAAAGTGGAAAAACTTCTTGAAAATATTAATGAAAAACAAAATTTTGAAAAATTTAGCAAAAATCATATTTTTATTTGCCGCAAATTTTGAGTAAAAAAATCAAAACACAGGCACTTTCAATGCATTGCGCACCAAAAAAATGTAATGTTAGCGCCAATATTTGGTATAATTTGAAAACAAGAAAACAAAATTTTCAAAAATGACAGCAAAAACAACATTTGTTATCAAAATTACACGCAAAACTGCAAGAGAGGCAGGTAAAAGGACAATATGTTTTTATCAAAATTATAACATGAAAAAATTTTGCACACATTTTTTACGCTACTAAAAAATTTATATTTAAAGATTATTTGGTAAAAATCGAACAAAGGAACCGTTATTCAATACATTTACATTTAGGTTATTCTAAATTGAAATTTATCAAAAACATTGGCTGTAAAACTTATATAAACACTGGACCGTATTTAAGTAGAAGCGAACGGAACTTATGACGAGCCGAATTGCTGGCAAACAGTAGAAAACGAGAGACCAGAGGGACAAGCAATATAAAATGACACTTGCATACTTTTTGTACGAAAACGAAAATTATTTTACACACAAAATGACAGTTTTTTGTACGAAAAAAAATGTTTACCAAAAGCTCTACACAAAACGCTCTTTTTCACATTCTTGATACTGAATTTGGCTTGTAGATTATTTGAGAACATAAACAAAACGGTTTTCGAAAACCGCAAAATCATTTGCAAATGCTAAATTATTTTTTCCATTATTGTTGTTGTAATTTAGTATTAATTCAAACTTATACGCATATAACGCAAAAAAGAGCCGAAATTATCGCTAAAAAGAACATTACTAGCGTGTGTGCGCTTCCCGGTCGAAACGGTACAAGCAAACGGTCGAATCGGTACATTTTTGTTTGCGCGCATAAATTTAACGTTTAAGCTTGAAATACGCCACTACCGCCATTTTTTTCATTTGATTCAACTATTTTAAATATAAATGGAAATATTTCTAATTATAATGGTTATAAGCTAAATATCAAAAACCACATAAAGCAAAAACAAAAAACATAAATGAAAATGTGACTTTTCGAACAACGCCCAAACAAAAATCGAAATTCAACTTCTTGCAAAAACAAAAATAAAAATAAATAAAGCAAAAAATATATATACATATATATATATATTATATATACAAACAAAAGAGAGTAGTAAAGCAATATTGAGAGTTTTTTTTTTTTGAAATAAAATTTTAAATTTTAGTAAAGCGTTTTATTATTATTATTTTGTTACTTTAACGCTAAAACAAAAAAAAATTTAAAAAAAATATTTGCGAAATTAATTTTTGGCACGAACACACACATGCCGCTTAAGGACTTGTGGCAGCTAAATGCAAAAATAGAGAGAAAATGAGAAAAAGTGTTCAAAAGAGAGATGTGAAATTGCCCCAAAGCGTTGGAGAGAAAACGCTGCCAGTGCCAAGTGTGCTGCAAAGCCGACGCTGAAAAGCCCCTCTTGTTTTTCGGTAACACAAACATATTTATAAAATAATAATTACAAAAAAAAAAGTATTTTCAACTGCAGCTAACAAACAATTTTCAGTAGATTTGTTTTGAAAAACGTATATTTTTGAGAGTATTTTAGTGCGTCATAAAGCATAATTTATAAATTTGATTTTTTGTACTTTTGAAGAATTCGTTATGTCCAAAATAGTTGGTAAAAAAAAAACAAAAACAAAATTAAATAATGTTGAAAATTTTCCATCAACTCCTTTTCCTCTTTGAGTTCTCATTCTCATTTGATTCATTTGAGTTTTTAAATAACGTTGCTTTTGATTTGCCATCTTGAATTTGGAAAGTGTGGCGCACCGCACTTCTTTTCATACTTACTAGAGACAGTATATCCTTTTTAACATACATTTTTATATTTTCTTTTTTGTATGAAATTTCACCTTTACAAATTTGTTTCTACTCACTTTGATTTTGAAATTTTGAAATTACTTGCAAAAACTAGACCGAAAAAGTAATGCCACTTAAGTGTTTTTAACTTTATATATATTTTCGCAAGGACAAAGAAAACGAAGAAAGGCAAACGCATACTATTTATAATTTTTTTACATAATTTTTTTTATAAAACTTTAATACGTGCATTGTGTTTTTTTTGTTTTTTTTTGTAATTCAATTCAAAAACAATTCAATTGAAACCGAACAAAGCGAAAACGTAATGTAGACAAAAGAAAAGCAAAACCATAAAGTAAAAAACAAAAGCAAAAGAAAAAGTCAAAAAAGTAAACAAAAAGAAAATGTAAATGCAAAGTAACGCCAAAGCGTAGTACGAAAGAAGTTGATGTTGGATTTTTGTTTGGTGTTGTTCCAGGAAACGTCCGATTCGCCGCACGTTGTCGCCGCTGGCGGCATCTCGGTTAGCGCTGGCGGTGGTGGCAATGTCGCATGTTCGACATCGGCTGCTGCCGCTGCCGCAGCGATTGCTGCGTCGGCCGCCTCCACCTCACACAGTCTTGACCAATCGCAAACGCCGCCGCCCCTCTATCAGTGCATATATTGCGGCCACACATTCCAGCACCAAAGCAAGCTAACGCGACACATACTCTCGCATTCGCTAAAAACGCTGGAGTATCGCGAGACCGCACAACATCCGCTCTTGCATTCGCATTTGCTGTCGCACGACCTCAATTTGGCGCAGTTGCCACAATTTACCACGTACCAAATGAATGCCGCCGCATTGGCGGCCAGCGGCGCCGATACTCAGGAACAACAAGCAGCTGCCGCTGTCATGGCTGCCGCCATGGAGTTGGCAGCCACATGCGGTAGTGTTGGTGCGCGTAGCGCACTCGATCTCGACGGCAGTGGTGGTCGGCTTGGCCACGGCGGTGGTGTTGGTGGCGGTTCGGCAACGGACAATTGCGGCATTGGTGGCACGTCAGCGGGTAGTGGCGGTATGGTATTGAGCGGCGCTGGTTCGTCGTCTTCGTCGACATCGGCAGCGGCGGCGGCAGCGGCCGCAGCTGCGTTGGCTGCAACGTCGTCGTCATCGGGCGCGTTGTTGGGCGCCTCATCGAGTAGCGCCGATCCGAATGGCGTTGTGCTGTGCAAATTTTGTGGCAAAAGTTTTCCCGATGTCCACGTATTGATCGGGCATCTGCCCGTGCATACGGGCGAGCGTCCATTTAAATGTGAATACTGTGGCAAGGCGTTCAAGCTGCGCCATCATATGAAAGACCATTGTCGCGTCCACACGGGTAAGTACGCTAATTTTTATGAAATTCTTTTAAAATAATAACGAAAATGCATGGCAGAAGTAGAAACGAACGCAGAGTAGAAAAGGAGAGAAAATTTTAGAAGCAGATAATATTTGGTCGGAATAGAGGTACACCACTCTACTTGATGTTCGAAAGCTGCCCTAAAACTAGTTTGAAATGATAGTAATCTTCATAACATGGCAGCTATTATCAGATCTAAAAGGCTTCTGCTGCTGCTCGAACCGATTTCACCGTTACATCATGATCCCTGTGAGATTACTGGATCTTTCATTCACTTAAAACAGTTGTCGCAAATAAAGAGTATCGTCTTTTGATCTCATTCCTAATCGAAAATTTATCGAAAAGGTTGTCGAAGATCAGAAATATCGTCTTTTAATCTCATTCCAAAACGAAAATTGTTCGAAAGCCGGCAGATGAAGCGAAATTTTCAGTAATAGAACTCTGTAGTAGCTTTTTGAAGGTTTGAACGAATTATGGAGGACATTATATACGGTCCTCTACTTTTGAGCGATCACGAGCAAAGTGCCTATCAATCGCTCGGAATAATTTCGTGGTTTATGGTTTGATAATTTCAACTTTTCATTGGCGTGACGAAAATTTATAACTAGAAAAATTTCATTCTCAACCTACCTCCAAATGAAATCCATAGGTTATTGGATCAACTCTACGATATAGCCTAACTCTAAGTATTCAAATAATTCTTAGTAATTTTCGTTACTAATGAAAGAGAATTCAGCCGATTACTTTTTACTCGTTTCTGCTTCCGTCAAGCATCTTATAGTCTTTAAGATATATTTTTAACTGTATATTCGTTCTCTTCATCGTTCCGGGCTCCAACTATTACACCACTACGACATCGCCACCCGTTAGGTGAACGTCCCTTCCGTTGTCACATGTGCGGGAAGACCTTCTCACGCTCAACCATACTCAAGGCGCACGAGAAAACCCATTTTCCCAAGTATGTGCGCAAATTTCTCTCACCAAGCCCTGTCGACACAAAGGATGAACTACCACAATAGTGAAGCGACTTTAGCTTGCTACTAAACTACTACTATTATTATTACTACTACAACTACAACATACAGGATAATAATAATTATAATTACTACAACTGACGATGAGCGATCGTGATCTATACATAGTTAGCGGTGACCGACATAAGCGCGGTCCGCATGTTAGATCATGATCAAGACACCACGAAATAGATAGGAGCAGGAGTTGATGCAGGCGATGATGCAGCTGAAGCAGTGCCGAAATACAAACAAACATATATATTAATCGATGACAAACCTCGACGACAAAGAATTTCGTGGCTAAGCGCCGAGAGTGCTGCCACTTAATAATTTATTTAAAGAATACAAAAAGTAAAAGAAAGAAAAACACTAGTAAAACTAAAAGTCTGCCTGAGCATACAAACAGCAGCAATTATATACTTATCTTATACATATTTGTAACAGAAATACATACATATATACAAGTGAATAAGTGGTAAAAACAAAAGAGAGAGAGTGTGTATGTGAAAAAGAGACACATATATTATATGATACATATGAAAGAGACAAGCTGAGACAAGCAACACATATGCATGCACACAAACACACTTACAGTTATATACATATACCGTTATTTAGGAGAGCGTGTAAGTGATGCAAATAACGAAACCTAAAGTTAAAGTAAATAAGTAAAAATTGTCATTATATACATACATACAAGTATATACATAAAACCCCATATATCTAAATATATATATATACATGCATATATATATTTAAAATAGTTGTAAAAATTAATAATAATTAACGCAAGCGGCAAGCGAATGCGAAAAATGAGTGCAGTGTAGAAATTTTAGGTTAGGAGCGAAGCTTAAAACAAACGCTAAGCGTAAATGCAAAATTTTAATTGCATTTTTTTTTTACAAATAGTGTACAGAGTGTGTTGAGCAGGTGAGTTATATGACACTAAGAAAATAGCGTTAGTGTGTAAAGCTGTAGGCATGAGTGCGCGTTACGCAACAAAGAACTCATGCGTAGCAAAGCGAGAGAGCAATAACGTTTGTTGCAAACAACAGAGAGCAAGCAGTTTCCGCTCAATGAAAAATATACACATACATACTAACATATGTGTGTGTGAGTATATGAAATAGTGAGTCCTAAATGCTACAACTGTATGAGAGTAGCAAATGTAATAGAGAGAGAGAGAGAGAGCGCCGTAGCTTAAACAACTGCGCTTTTACAGACAGACATACATTATACAAGTCATATTCTTTTTATTTCTAATTAGTAACCTATTTTATTAAACTACATTTGTATGTGTACTATAAAGTTTAAGTGAAAGCAAGTAGTTCTAAGAGAGTTACAGTGTAGGAAGCTCGTTTCGGTTAAAGATAGAAAGAGAAGAAATCAAGTAGCTCGAAAGATCTTAATGAGTATAAGGAGGTTACGGTTAAAGAGAGAAAGAGACGAAGATAGGTAGGTTGCGAATATAGAGAGAAAGCGAAGCACATTAGGCGGTTACGGGTAGAGAGAGAAAGAGACGCAGTTAGATAGCGTGACAAGCAAAGCGAGAGAGCAATGTGTAAGCCGAGCTTTCAATTTATTACAAAGCAGACATAGCTTGGTTAACAGCACACCCAAGTTTAGGCGGACAGGTAATAGGATGAGAATTTTTCAAGCTAGATTTTTTTGGTGTTACTTATGCTTTCATTGTACAGTTAAATAATATGTGTTATAAGGTTTTTGTTACATAAATACAATATAAAAAATATATATACATACAGACAACAAGAATATGTATGTATGTAGATAATATTAATTTTTTCACAATTAACCGTTAGCTGCAGCGCATAACCCAGCGTTTGCAAGATCTCATGTGATCCGTTTTTTATACATATACATATGTAAAACAAAGAAATATACATACACAAAAGCGGTCTCAGCTTTGTTGCTGAGTGAGTTTAACATATTACCCCTCTTCAATACATATGCGCTTACTTATGCATGTACAGCTATGTTTCGAAATAAACCCAAATAATTATCGTTTAAAATATCGCTAGTATATATGGCAGCACAGCGACACAAATAGCAGTAAATATTAGCAATTAATACGATTCTTCAGCAAAGTCATGGTTGTTTATGCGCATGCGCGCAGTTTATTTTCAATTTCCGAACATGCTTGGAAACAAGACTTGGGTTGGACAGCGCTAGGTTCTCAATAGGAATTGCAATTACCGTTTTTGTTAGATGTTTTCAAACCGGTTTTCTTTCAAAACAGTTATAGTCAATATTTATGTGCATAATATATATGCATACATATATACAGTTTTATAAAACCCATAGTTACGAAATATACATAGAAAAAGTAATAAATGGCATTGCAAAAACAAACTTACAGTACGATAGACTTTTTTACAACAACATAGTTGAGCAATATGAGCTTTTTACAACAAACAATAACACAACAATTACAGTTACAATAGAATAAACAATTGGTGCTAATAAACTACAAACTTATATAGAATGAAATGAAGTAACGTCAATACAAAAGTACACACACATACATACATACATATTTTGCATAGAAGAACAGAGAATTACAAATTACAAATGATTGCCTACAAAAACAAATACTTCACATAATTATATAACATAGTTGAGTTAATATTGAAAGCTCTTGACAAATATTTACCATAAACATGTTTACTATTTCTTATTACAGTCAACATATGTACATACAATTGGATTTGCTATATAATATTGTGTTTACATAAAGAAAATATATATTTTAGTTTCGAAAGCTCAAACCATATTTCGAAAGTTAGTTCTCAACTAAAAGCGTGCCTTTAAAAATTTCTATACTGTACCTTTCTTCCAGAGCTCTATACCGAAGCTCGATGAAAATCTCTAAAATCAATGAATTAATAATATTTGGCTTGATATTATATTTTTGAAAAAGCTTTCAAGCTATTAGTTTGATAAAAAAACTATTCGGCAAAAATTTGTTTTCATTTTTTCGTTTCAGTTTTCCATATGTCAATTATTGAAACTTGATATCTTTGGTGTTCGATTAAATTCACAAAATGCTCTCATTCAGAATTCACAAATAATCTTTCCAAAGTGAAGCTTTGGTTCCGTATTTTATGAAAGCCTCCAAAATCTTTGAATTAATAATATCTGCCTTCATATTATATTTTGGAAAAATAATATACAAATTTAATGGCCGAAGTCACTTCCTAAACTGTCGCGAGCTTTCATTTGATCCTTCATTATGGGAATTTTGAAAGCTTTACATTCAAAATTTTTACAAGCTTTAACTTAAGCTTAAGAACTTTTGTACGAGCACATTATTACTCGATACATACTTTTTCAGAATTTTTTCTAGCTAAATTTATTGCTAACATTTCAGAAACTTCTCAAACATTTTCGGGGAAGCCGTTTTTTTTTTAAGTAGCTTTCGTTTGAACTTTCATTACTTTGAATTTTGCAAGCTTTTAAGAGATTTGTATGCGTACTTTAAAGTAATTTTTCAAAGAACCCCTGTTTATACTTTCCAGAATTTATTTATTTATTTGAATATTCATTGTGGTGCGTTCCGTAAAGATTACAGTTTAAGAAAGCTTATATATGAGAACTTTATTACTCCGAAAATTTTCAATAAAAATTTTTTCAGCCAATTTTTTTTTTTAATAATATCTTTGCGAGCTTTGAACTTTCAATACGGCGAAATTTGTAAGCTTTCAAATTTATAAGAGCTTTTGTATAAGAACGTTATTATTAAAAAAATTTTAAACTAGAAATTTGTTTAAACAGCTTCAAATCTTCAAATTTGTATAACTTTCAAATTATGAATTTTAAGAGCTTTTGTATGACTTTAAAAGCTTTTTATATTACAGAAGAATCAATTAAGGCGAAGACTTTAAAATCTTTAGTTTAAACTGAAGAACTTTCAATACTACTAATAAATAGCCTAGTGAGCTTTAAGCTCCGCGAGTTTTGGTTGCCCATAACAAATACATTATAAACACGTCTTATAGTTCAGACAGACAGAGTTATGTAGTTTTTATTACATATAAAGCTTTCATAACAGCTTTTCAGTAGCTTTTTATTTCCCAACAGTGACTTCTTTACTTTAACAAAGTACGGAAACTCACATATGGAACACAATGAACAGACATGTGCATATACAGCACAAACGCATACAAACATAACCCCAAAGAAAAAAAACAAAAACAACACTAAAGGACTCAAAATAAAAGCATTAAATAAAAAATGTCAATAAAAGCAAAAAATAGCGAAGAGCGATAAAAATATATGTAAATGTAGTTTGTTAGAAAATGGGAGGAAAGTGTAGATAAGTATTTCGAAAACGACCGTGGAGAGTTTTTAAGGGAAAAAAAAGGGAGGTAAACAAACACTTCAAAGTACACATAAATTTCTATAAGGCTTAATAAATTACGTAGAAAGGCGAGAGAGCGTAGCAGAGAAAAGACACTGAGCAAAATTAGAAACAGCAAGCGACCGATAAAATGAGAAACTTCAATTAGTTGGCGTTAAAGAGGCAGAGCAGACCAAGACCGAAGAGAGCGAAAGCGATAAAAAGTAAACAGAAAATTTATTGCATAGAGAATATCTGTGATCTTAACGATATTTATAAAATACATACATAAAAAAAAAATAAAACAATTAAAAGCATATATAACAAATCAATGAAAATGAACACAACAACACAAAAAATATAAAAGTAAACCAAATAAAAAACTGAAAATATTTTAAGCATAAAAATAAGAAAAAGGCGAAACAATTTCAGCATAATACAGTTAAAGAGGCAAGAAAATGAAAAACATTAGTAATAAAAATATGCAAACATCGTTGAAGCGTACACACACATACATACAGACTTGGGCGTAATATTATAGAGCGCTGCGTGTTAGAAATGCAAAGCAAAAGACAAAAACGCGCATGCGCAAACTGCTATAAAATGTTATGTTTTCTTTTTGTATGTAGAGCACGCTAGTAGCAAGCGTATATAGTTTCATTTTCATATTTTAAGGCGAAGGATCACAACAGGCCACATAAACAGTACTTGCGGACAGGCATAATTAGCTTTATATACAT